AAGGGTCTCCCAAAATTCACGCAAAAGTAATTTTGATAGGAAACACAGGTTTATAATTAAAAATTTTAAATTTTTATTGATTCATAAAGTATACAGTATAAGGTTATGTATGGAATAGCATATCGGGTAAATGGATTATCATGTCGCGATAGTGAGCACCATTAACTGTTATTGCCTGAGAAGTCACATTTTCAAAGAAGAATGGTCCGATGATGCCTCCAGCCCCAAATCCACACCAAATAGTGACACATTGTGGATATTTTGCCCGATATGCTATTCCAAATATAACCCTATACTGTATGCTTTATGAATCAATTAAAAATTTACAATTTTTAATTATAAACCTGTGTTTTCTATCAAAATTATTTCTTGCGTGAATTTTGGTACACCCTTTATTTTCATTGTTACAAATTGAACATAATTAAAGCATAGTGATTAATCACAAAAACAATATGTAATTATATATGTGTTTTCCAATGGTCTTAGGCGACCCCTGTGAAAGGGTCGTTCAACCCCCAAAGGGGTCGCGACCCACAGGTTGAGAACAGCTGGCTTAGAGGCTGGAGACTTGTTGGCTTAGCCACTGAAAACCACCCTGAGGGTGTGAGAGTCAGTGTGTGGGGGTGGGGGAGCACTGTAGGGGGACGCCGAGTCATCTTGAGTTTTGTAGCTCGGCTCTCAGACCCTCAAGAAGGGAAACCGGCAGTTTGGTGTCCTCAGTCCAGACAGTGGCAAAGTCTACTCTCTGGGAAAAGATATTTCTAGAATTTTCTTTCCTAAAGATGCCTCTCAGCATCTCACCAGTGAAGGATGAGGCACTAAAAGCAAGAGGCTGCTTCCCCTCTCCCTTCGGGCACTGCACGTAGTAAAACTCCCACTGTAGGCTATCTTTTGGGGAGCCAGGCTTCCTCTTAGCTGCTGGGGGTCCTTGGGGTAGGAGGAGGAAATGTGAAGTGCCAGCACCACTAAGCCAATAGAGGGGAGAGAGAGAGAGAGAGAGAGAGAGAGAGAGAGAGAGAGAGAGAGAGAGAGCGCGCCAGTGGAGAGCATAAGCACCTGGTACTTTGCATAAGCACCTGGTACTTTGCATAAGCTCATTGGAGCCTGAAGGGAAAAACAAGTCTGCTGGTGGCTGTATTTGGACAGAAGGAAGAGTGGATGCAGAAATGGAAGAAATTAGAATCCTAAATAATGTTTTTTCAACAGGAGGACCTTCGCTGCTAGACTCTCACCACTGAGGCTCTAAAACTGGAGACCGCCAGCATTCTGGTGTCATGAAGTACTGTGTAAACTAATGGCTCTGTTCTTGTTTTTCTTTCAGATCCAGTTTCCATCAGGGATCTCTCTTGTCACCAAAATAGAACAATAAAAAAAAAAAATTCTGTTCTTGACTGTGTTCTACCCAAGACACAACAGGTGGACTTGGTAGGGAGGTAAGCGGATTGGGGGGCAGGGGTTGGGGGGGAAGGGCTGGTGACTTTCGGAGCCCTAGGTAAACCAGGCTGGGATCCTGCTGTTCCTGGGATCCTGCTGTTCCCAAGTGGAGGCAATTTTCTCCACTCACAGAACAAATCATTTCAGATTCTTCATTTTAAAAACAGGAGTTATACTAGTTAATTCAATACCCCTAATATAACTAGTCAACTCTACTTCCGTCCAGTGGTTAGTGGGAACAGGAGGAATGCGCTGGCCCCTTTCCAGGCTCGCACCTGAAGGAGAGAGGCCCTGTGCCTGGGAACACTGCGTCTCTGGGACATGGCTTCATGCAGCTTCACCTGTGAGGGGGGCACAGGGGCAGGGCGAGGCAGGGCCTGGAGCCTGTGATCCGTCCTGGTGACTTCACTGAACTCAGCCAGAGCCTGGCTCCTGAGCAGCTGAGGCAGGGGTCTTAGTTCAAGGTGATCCCAGGAAACACCAGTAGGGGAGAGGCTGTGAGACAGGAGGTGCTTAGTCTGCTGGGGCAACTCTGGGAAACAACACACCTCAGAGAAATTCCAGCCCAAGGTGATGGCTTACATACCCATCCTGTTAGTCATCCATTAAGGACTGGGTGGGGTGGGGGAGTGCGAGGGGGGGGGACAGCCCTGAACTCAAGGAAAGGAGTGCACAGAGCCATGCACATGTGACCTGCTGCGCCTCTGACAGCTGCTCAGGCTAGAACCAGGACAACCGTTGTGGAGGCAGGAGCAGCACAGGTGTGACTGGCAGGTGGGCCAGGCCAGGTACCAAGAACCCAGAGCCCACCCACCACCTTCCAATCCCAGGATTTCCTTTCCTAACAGGCACTCGGGAGAGGGAGCCCTTGGAGTGACAGGAACTCTTCTCGGATGCCAGCCTCCCAAAGGAAAGTGCTGACTTTGGGTGGAGTGGGGTCATGTTTGGGTCCCGTCTGCAGGTCAGGGTGGAAGGGCCCCATGGCCGCTGCTTCTGATCAGCCTGGCTCTTCTGAAGATACTTAGTTCAGAAGATACTTACCTTCTGAAGATACTTACTTTTTCTGGCATATTAATTAGGTCCCCTTTTATTGGGAATGTTGGACAGTCTAACCCAAACTGGTCTGAGCAAAAGAGAACATACTGCCTCCTATAGAAGTCAAGAAAGAATTCTGGTGCAGTTGTGGCTTGTTCCAGGGGCTCAGGCCATGGCCCAGAACCATGTCTCTCCCTGCTTTTGCAGACTCAGTTCCATGCTCAGGCAGGCTCCTTCTCCAGGAGGCCAGATGGCTGCAGCAGCAACAGTCCCACACTCTGAAGGTCAAGTCTGGCAGGGAAGGCAGCTTGTCTCCCAGCAATAAAGGGCCTACCATCGGGCTCTGAGTAGGTCCTGTGTCCCTCCTGGAACCCATGATCTGCTGAGGGGAATGCAGTGCTCTGATCAGCTTTGGACTTGAAGGTCCAGCCCATTGAAGGTGTGAGGGCTAAGAGTAGGGAAAAGACAAACACAGTAATTTTTTGATAACCTGTTACCAAAAGAAATGGGAGTGGATGCTAGGCAGCTATAAACAGCAGACATCTACTCCAGATGGGTTTGGGCCCCGGGACCAGGGCCCTGATGCTATCCTCCACCTCTACCCAATCCCCTTCACCCCTCTCCCCCACTCCTTCACCCCACCAGAGTGAATGCCTGAGTAACCAAGCCAAGGATTCACAGTAGCCTGGAGGCATGGACTCCTAGTGGTTGAATTCCTCAGAGCAGTGGTGACCTGGGCAGTACTACCCTCCCACCTCAAGAGGAAGGTATAGGCAGTGCTGGTTATCATAGTGACTGGGGGATACTATGGGCTGTTAGTGATGAATGCCAAGTATGCAATGCCCAGAACGGATCCCATGCCACCGATTTATTCCAAAATGCCCATTCTCATTGGCAATCACCACTATTAGGACTCATCTGTGGATACTCCCTTACACTACCCTTGCATTGTACTTGTCATGAGGGAAGTTTAAAGTAGAAAGAAGCATAACCAAGTATATTTCTGAACACAGTGCCATAACTAAGGCTGCCATGGCTGTGAGTTTGGAGGTAGCCTGGGCATCTTCACTAGGCTGGACTCAGACCTTGGCTCTGAACATGGCCTCCAGACTATCAGATCTGTCTCACTGGCCCATCTTAGGGTAGGAGAGGTACCCAGGGTAAGGCTACAAGAGGTGAAAGGCCGAGCCAAGTCGAGATGCCCCATCCTCCTGCAGGTGCCCATCTTGTCCACCCAGCTCATTGGTGCCAGGAGCCTAGGACCAGCGGAAGGTCCTGAGCTTTTCTGATACTCTGTGGTCTCCACTCTTACCACTGGCCATGGGGCCTGATGGGCTACAGTAACCAGGATCCAGGAAACTGAACTAATAAATCCAACCATAGGCTCAGGTGATACACCAAATGCAGCCTCTTCCGCCTCCTACCTGGGTCCCAGGCACAGTGCCATGTTGGACAGGGCAGTAACTCAGGCCTCTAGTCACTGGTAACCATAGGAGTTAGAACGGCTCTTCATGCTGCTATTGTAAGTTTTGGCTTCACCAGGATACTCAATAGGACCCTCTGGTCCCAGGCAACTCCTCCTCTGTATATGCAGGGACAGCATATACATTAATAATATGTAGGTAATAATAGATATTGTGACACCTCACACAGCCAGTCACGAAGACTTGGAGCAAGAATTTGAACTGGCAATGTACCCTTGTCAGCATCCCAAGATGCATTCTTAGCCAAAACCAGGATGAATCAAGCCCTAAACTGGCAAAAGGATTGGGACTGCGAAGCCTTGAGGCACCTCCTAGCTAGGAGTGTAGCCCCAAAGCTGCCACGAAGAAACGTATCCAAGGAAGAGAGCCAATTGGCCTCAGCTGCAGGGCTGAGGGAAGGGAGTCTGAACTCCCCCAGGAGGTTGAGAGCTAAAGAGCTTGGTTAGGGTCTGGGTGATTGATCCCAGTTAAGGAGTGCATACAATAGGTGAGTGGGAAAGCCCACTTCCACTGCACTAGGGTGAAGGGTCTGGGTTGATCAGTTGACTGTCTCTTTTATACCTTCCTCTCTTCACCCCTCCACTTTTTCTGTCCCAGTGCTTTTGCCTGCCCAACTCCAGTGCTCAAGAGTAAACTACTTGCACCATGTTCTGTTTATACCCTCAACATTGGTATCTGGACTGGATAATGGCACTGGGGTTTAGTTTAGTTTTATCTTATGGTGCTCTATTCTGTGGCTGTGGCAGAAGGTGCCTTCAATGCAGTGGTAAGGCATCTTCAAGGAGGTGGTGTGCATGCCAGATTCCTGAGGCTATAATTGCTCAAAGACCCCTAGGCTCCCAGGAGGCCCCTGGGTGAACCCCTGGAGCTGGACAGAACTGAGGAGAAGGGGAGAGAGGATCATTTGGGGGTCCACTTTGCACCTTTGGTGATTAATATTTCATACATCTTTGGGAGCATTGCTTTGCCTATAAGAACAGCAAAAGGAAAATCGTTTGGTTCTGATGGGATCAGGAATTGATTTGGCATAAGAAACTTCAACTTTCTTGTCCATCTCCCTTGTCCATCTTATTTGGCAAAACCACACCCTGGTTAAATCCAGTTTTCTGTCTCAGCAGCTGAACTTGGGGAAGCACAGCCACATATGACACCAGAATCACTTTTCAAACCATGAACTTAAGCTCCAAGTGGGCCTCAGTGCTGGCGGGGATTAAATCACCTCACGAAGCACCCTCAGCTCTTTGGACTCAGGTGCACACGCAGAACCTGCAGCAAAAATTGTGCTGTAGCCACCACAGGTCCTCACTCAAGTATGAAGAGATGGAAAAGGAAGCCCATCTACGTGTGGGACTAAATCCCATACAAACACCAAACAGCCAGACTCCACCTGCCCTCCCCCTACCCCCCAACACTGCCCACTGGGCTACAAAGGGATTCAGAACATGCTCCCCAAGATGTGTCACATTGGCATGTGAATTCTTTTGAGCTGAAGGCAACTGAGACCCTGCGGGCTCAGGAGAAGCATTTCCCTTTCCCTTCAAGAATTTAAATGTGGGGCCTTGTCCATAATAACATTTATTACCAGAGATAACTTTCTATAACCTTTCTCATAAGACTAGGCAAACTTCCAATTACTGAACATCTGCTCCTCTTATTGTCCTTTGAATGACCTCCCTCCCCAGGTGTCTTACCTCACCCCTAACTCAGAATGTCATATCTACTCCATTTTCCCTTTCCGTCTCTGAACCTCCCATGTCTGTGATTCTCATGTATGTGGGGTTTCCATCTGTACATACGTAATGAAATGCAGTCATTGTCTCTTGTTAATCTGTTTCACGTCTATTTGATTATTAGACGAGCCAGAAGAACCTGGAAGAGTAGAGAGAAATTTCTTCCTCTCCCATAGCTGCCCTGCCCCTTCCCACAAGACCACTCCTTGGGGCAAGAAGAGGCTGCAGAGCACGGAACAGTGGCCCTTGGTATTGGGAATCAGGACGCATGTTTATCTCATGCTAACCAGCTCCCAGGAAACCTGCAGGGGAGACTCCACACACCCATCCGAGAATCCTCCCTGGCTCTTGGCAAACGGGCCTTCCCCCACCCCCCACCCGCAGCTGCCGGGGAATGCAATGTGCCTCCTTTCTCTTACTTCTCCTGTACTGTTCACATGGAGCAGGGAACACAGAAAGACTTCATTCACAGGCTCCATCGCTTGGCCCTCTACTGAAAGCTTTCTGAAAATGCAAATTCCTCAGACTGGATTCTTTTCAAACGCTTTCAACTTCCGTATTCCCACTGAAAGCAGTTAAGCAGATCAAGACTTCCCTGGCTAGAGGCTCCTTAAAGATCATATTTACATTTAAAGGAGAAACTGAACTGGCCAGAAAGCAGGTTTTCAGGCTGTGAAGTCAGGCTTGATGACTGCAAGGTGGGAACAGTTTCTAGGGCGTCACGCCATTGGGAGTGTGCCCGTGTGAAACCCCCATTTTGCTGCCTGTGCCCCACCCCCACCTCGGCCTCACTCCCTTCAGTCTTCTTCAGTGCGGCCCTGCGCTGGTGCTGACATCAGTCCTGGACGACTGGGCGCTCAATAAGACAGGGCTGTTACCCATCAGACACTCAACCCAGTGACCTGCACAAGTCTCTACATGAGCCAACTCTCCCCTCCCGGAGGCCCTGGGTCTGCCTGTGCCCTTCACCTGACAGGACCAGGAGATTCTAGTCTCCGTCCCTCTCCAGAAAAACAGACTCCCATCAGGATGACTTGTGTCCATAAGCATTGGGCATTTTAAGCCTTGTATTTCTGCCCCCACACACCTCTTCCCACTCCTCCCCTAGCCCCAACTTGGCATTTCAAAGAGTAGGTTCCTTCTGCCTTGCTTCTGGCTCCACTTCTAGCCAGGTTTCCTGGAGTGCCTCTCCTTCTCCAGAGGCCCTCCCTGGAGGAGGGGTACCCTCTCCTCCCTCCTCCCTCAGGCGCCAGATAAGATTCAAACTGAGATCACTGAAAATGACAGGATTCCTTCTCTCCTCTCACTACCTTTTACACCCCCAAGATTACTTGGTTAAAATGGACATTTTCCCTCCCTTGATTACATAGGGTTTCATAACATATAATTGATACTTGCTCTTTTCACTTCTCAATGAAATCTTTCCATGCAATATCTCATTTTTAATAGCTGCATGGTGTCCCATCGTCTGTTTCACAATCAAAGAGACAGTGGGGCTCACCATAGGGCTGACTCATTGTACTAAGACTATTGGCTGCGATATTAGGCAGACTCATTTCCAGGGAAGAGCTCCATATGGCTTGGACAATATGGGAAACAATGGCCCGTGGCCTGTGAAGTCTACAGCTAGAATAGGCTTTAGGGTGGGCTTGCTCCAAAGATCTCATTTCTTTCTTTCTCCCCACTCTGCCTTCCATAGTCAGTGTCAGACTGAGACTGACTCTCCTTGTGATTGTAAGAGAGAATGCCACTCCAAAATCAGCCACTTTGGCATAAGGATTATTTTGATCTAAAAACAACTAAAACACAAAAAGATTACCCAAGAACAGCTGAAGTCATTAAACTAGCAGAAAGATTATGAGTGACTTGGGGCCATTTTCCTACATTGGTGCATCTGAGGACGATGTAGGAGCATCTTGAAGTCATAAGACTAGTGCATGCTCTAGATGTGTAAGGTTGTGCACAAGAATGCTTTTTATAATTGCATGAAAGTTCACAACATTAGGGCACTGGCTAAAATAAAGTATGGTTAATCATACACATAGAACTACTTGGTTTTTTGAAACGACAATGTCAGACCATAGATGTTGACATCAAAGGATATCCAGAGTCTATGGTCCAGGGAGAAGAGCAGGTGCTGTGAGCATAGAGAAGAGACTGTGTCTAGTTTGTGTCATAATTCTTTATAAAGACATTTTGTAAGATTTTACTTGAGCCAAACAAAGAATTCATGTGGAAGCAAGATCTCATCAGACTAAAAAAAAAAGCTTCATTAGAATGATATTTTGCAGCTTCTTTATGCATTTGGAATTGAGGAGGGAGCACAAATAAGATTATATGAAGGTGTCAGAAAGCAGGCATTTGCAGAACCCATTCTGACTGAATCCTTGATTGGTCTCTCTCAGCAGGCGAGGCACTGGTGGGGAGCTGGCCTGAGCAGGTAGTGTTATCAGAAGATTAATATTGAATATCTCAGGCACCTTGTGAACAGTGATCATGAAGTCACCCACTGCCCATATCCTCCAAATATGCATACTTTCTATATCTCATCACCCAGGGACTTAGGGCCTGCAGAATGTGCAAGAATGAGACATGTAGGTACAGGGGCAGGGAGCCATGGTGAGTGGGGACCCCCAGGTCCACATCATGGACACAGCTGACATTGTATTTGATATTCTATAAAGGGGTGTTCCTTCTGAGCCTTATCCCGTGATAACCACCCTTTGATCCGTTCTTACAGGAAGTGTGCCTGGCTGAGTGAGATTGGTACATTCATGTCCTGGGGAAGGTGAAGCCCCCACTCAGCTCTTAGAGACCATGGCCACTTCCTGGCCATTCTCTGCAGAGGCTCTAACTTGATCCGACCAAACCGATTTTAAAGGAGGACCAAGTTGAGTGGCTTCGAGGTCACCGCCATATGCTCCTGTTCCCCTCCCTGCTCCAGAGACTCAGATGCTGCCAGGTCCCCATGAAGTCACCTTGAGGCCATGAGCAGCGTGCCAGGTGCAGACCCCTTTCCAAGTTTGCATGCTGAGGCTGCATTTTGCCAACGCTGTCCTGGGCTGAAGATGCAGAAGTGCCGTTCCTGCTCTGGGTAGCTTGTCACCTGCTCCTGGATGCCAAGCAGAACTGGCTGGTCCCCCACTTTGCACAGAGGTTCTTGCAGTTGTTCCTCCCCGTCCTCTGCCACATGCCCCTCGGTGCATGGCTGGGGGTGGGATGGGGTAGCATGTCTCAAGCACGATCTGAATATAGATGTCTGCTGATGGAGGACTGCCCCCTGCCCCAACTCCCTCAGCCAGTACAGGTGTGCCCTCGGGGGCTGCCCACCTCTCCTCCTAATACCACTGGCCCATCCTGCGCTGGGCAAGGATACAGTAGGGCTTAAGCCACGGCCTACGGTTTCCAGCGTTTCCTCCCACCCTTCTTCTTCTTCTTTTTTTTTAAAAAATATGTTTTTGTTGATTTCAGAGAGGAAGGAAGAGGGAGAATCAAAGATGAGAGAGAATCATTGATTGGCTGCCTCCTGCATGCCCCCTGCTGGGGATTGAGCCTGCAACCCGGGCATGTGCCCTAACCAGGAATCGACTGTGACCTCCTGGTTCATAAGTCAATGCTCAACCACTGAGCCACACTGGCTGGGCTCTCCCACCCTTCGTAACAAACAATCATTAAACCCTTAAAGTTCAGGTAAAATTGAAATGCTTGACCCCCTCATGAGCACCAGCTGTCACGGAGATCTGCAGTCCCAGTGCCCTGAGGGGAACCTGCCGGGAGACAGGGAAGGGGAACAGACTGTCCCACCCCAAAATGGGTCTCTTTGGCATGTGGATGATTTTCAGCCCAAAGCCATTAAGACCCAGCAGACTCAAGAAAACCTTTTTACTTCCCCCTAACTGCCTGAAAGAATGTAGACAGTGGGCCTGTACCAGTAAGAGAGCGATTATCAGAGATAACATATTTTGTATCTGAAAAAAATCTGCTTAGCAGGGAAAATAGCTGATTGCCAAACATCCATTCCACTAATCTTCCTGTGAAGCCCAGGCCCCTACCCCTTTCCTCAGCTGAGGATGGCTTACATGCCTCAATTGCCTTTGAGTCTCACCTCTTTGTGGGGCTCCTGTATCGATACAATTAAATTCGTTTTTCTCCTGTTAATTTATCTTATGTCCTTTTTATTATTAGAACAGCCAAAGAACCTGGAAAGGAAGCAGGGGAAATGTTTCTGCCTCCATCGCGAGGATCTGAACTCATAGCACAGTGGGGCCCTGTTTGGTCATCCAGCAGCCAGGTCCTGGCCCCTTGTCAGAGCCAGTCCCAAACTTCCTGCCATACTTCACCCAGCCCAGCCTCATTCCTCTGTGGGGTGCCAGCAAAGTACAGTCTGGGTGGGCATAAGCACAGAGGGTGCCTGGGGTGCTCCCTGAGGGCTCCCTCAATTTCCTTCCCCTGCAGGGTCTCCCTTGCATTTAAGATCTTCCTCCCATTACCTGGCTCCCCAAGAAGCCCATAAAATCTCCCCAAGTCCCACATTTTTTGTAGCTCCCAGAACAATTGTCTTAGGGGAGAAGAGGGAGTGTGGAGGGAGAAAAGAAAGTTAGGAAAGAAGAAAAGAAAGAGTGATGAAAAAAGAAAAGGTCAAAGGTAGGGACAGGGAAGGAAGAGAAGGGAAAGAAGGGGGAGGAGAGAGGGAGGAGGTAAGGGAAGAGATGGGGACGGCGAAGGAAGAAGGGAAGGCGAATAGGATGAAAGAAAGGGAGGAAAGAGGAGAAAGGAGAAGGTACCAGCCACTAGACCAGTGGTTCTCAACCTGTGGGTCGCGACCCCTTTGGGGGTCGAACGACCCTTTCACAGGGGTCGCCTAAGACCATCCCGCATATCAGATATTTACATTACGATTCATAACAGTAGCAACATTACAGTTATGAAGTAGCAACGAAAATAATTTTATGGTTGGGGCACAACATGAGGAACTGTATTTAAAGGGCCGGAAAGTTGAGAACCACTGCACTAGACGAAGGTTATTCCTTGTTTTCCAAATCAGTACTTCTCCTACCAAGTTCTGCTTAAGTGAACATAAAGAAGCAAATTGTTTCAAAAGTCCTAGTTTCACTTTATATCTCTGTTGAAAACCAGAGAAATCAGAAAGGCCTATTTGTATTATGATATTTTCTAGGTCATGGACAGAGAGGAGGAAAAAATATTCTTGGCATACAGCCTTTTTTTTTAAGGTCTTTGTAGTTTCCTGTTAATTAATACCTGAACCATCACCATGTAAATAATGAGGGTAAATATAAACTTCACTGGCCCTGGACTCTGACCTTTGTTTAACACCCACCCCCTCTCTGATCCATCCTCTATCCCATCACTGGAAAAGTTGGAATTGTTAACCTGGAAATTTAGGGCCAGAGAAGAGAGACAGAGCATGTGGGTTTTAGACAAGCCTTGCAAGAAAGTACAAAAATAACAGCACCTCTGAAAGTTCTTCCCCAGTTAACTGCTGTCTTCTCTTCCTCAAAGAGGTGACATCTATAGGGTCAATTCCCTTTCCTTTCGCTTGGTGGGACTCCCATGACTCTGCCACCCTCTCCACTTGTGCCCAGTCAGGCTGTACTTTGCTGGCACTGCCCTGCACCATTTCTTTAGACAAGCATCATTTACAAGTGATTTGCCCAGCCAGCATGGCTCAGTGGTTTAGCGTGGGCGTGTGAAACATGATTTGATTCCCGGCAGGGCACATGCACAGATTGTGGGCTCAGTCCCCAGTAGGGGGCAAGCAGGAAGCAGCCGATCAATGATTCTCTCTCACCATTGATGTGTCTTTCTCTTCCTCTCCCTTACTCTCTGAAATCAATAAAAGTATATTTTAAAAAACAAAAACAAAAAGTGATTTAATGCTTCTACTCACTATTGTTGAGCACACCTACTAGTATAGTTCTGATTTCTCTTCATGTCGGAGTGCTATCTTTAACTGTTTTCAAAGAGGGACTCTATGTGATAAACCTTCTCATCCTTTGAATACCTGACAATGTAACTAGAAATCAAAACTCAGTTTTAAATACTATTCAACGATCTTAAGTCCAGTGTTGCTGTTAAGAAATCTCAAGTCAGCCCTAACCGGTTTGGCTCAGTGGATAGAGCGTCAGCCTGCGGACTGAAGGGTCCCAGGTTCAACTCCGGTCAAGGGCATGTACCTTGGCTGCGGGCACATCCCCGGTAGAAGATGTGCAGGAGGCAGCCGATCGATGTGTCTCTCTCATGGATGTTTCTAACTCTCTATCCCTCTCCCTTCCTCTGTAAAAAAAACCAATAAAATATATTTTTTAAAAAAGAAATCTCAAGTCGATCTGATTTTTGTTCCTTCCTTGGCCCTCTGCCATCCAGCTGCCTAGACTACAGATGTGATCCTCAGTAAATATAAGTTGAGCGACTGAATCACCAAGCAGGTGCTGGAAGCCATCCCTGAGTCCAGTCCAGGGCTTCTTGCTTCAACTCTTGGGCTTTTCCCACCCAAGCTTCTGGATCTCCACCCTGGGCAAAGTCAGTACACAGAGGCATGAGGTCATGTTAACAAAAATATAGGGTCCTTCCCCCAAACATTGGCTAAAACGACTACTGGATGATCAGACTTAGGGCAAGACTACTTGGGTATCTTTGAATCCCCACTGCTTACACACAAAAGGTGCCTGCCCTAGCGGGTTTGGCTCAGTGGATAGAGCATCGGCCTGCAGACTGAAGGTCCCAGGTTTGATTCAGGTCAAGGGCACATGCCCGGGTTCCCAGGTAAGGGGCATGCAGGAGGCAGCCGATCAGTGATTCTCATCAATGATGTTTCTACCTCCCTTCCTCTCTGAAATCAATAAAACTATATATTTTTAAAAAGGTGCTCAACAAAGGTTTGTTTTATTGAATGGACATACAAAGTCTCTAAGAAATGATTCAGCATAACTATAGGAGGCAGGACAGAGGGTAACTAGACCAGCAGATTGAGGGTTTTATGGTAAAGGTGAGAGCTGAGTAGTAATAGGTTCTTGACCTAAGGGGCCTTTGGTGTAATAGATGGGAAGTAAAGAGCCTTGACCATCACTGCAATAACACAGCCACTAACCACATGCAGCTATTTAATTTAAATGAAATAACATGTGAAACTCAGTTCCTCAGATTCACTGGCCAGATTTCAAGGGCTCAATAACAGCCACGTGTGGCCAGTGACCACTGCATTGGACAGTACAGATAGTATGAAGCACATCACAGAAAGTCCTGTTGCACAAAGCTGACCTAGGCCCTTAAAGGAAATGTATTCCTGCCAGTAATAAGTAATGTTGAAATAATGAGTCCTCAATTCATTTTTTGGTACATGCTGAAGGCCCAAAGGGGGGGGGGGGGTTAAATGACAGAGGTAATAGAAGAAGCCCCTGCTTCCTCGCTTTTCTCACTTCCTTGCCCCCTTCTCTGGTGCCTACCACCACCACCACCCACACTCCAAAGCAGCACTGTTGGGGCAGGCCCTGACTAAAAGTCCCACCCCAAGACCGCACAGATTCCTCAGACGTGTCTGCTCCAGGTCTCTAACGTGGGAGGGTATATTTGTTCACATGATCACCGCCCCCCCTTTGGCTATCCTGAACCTAGTAGGTGCTTAGTAAGCATGTGTGGGGTGGCTGGATGAGCGAACGCACGGCTCAGAGTGCCCTCTTCTCCAACAGCCCCGGGGAGGCGCCATCCTTAGAGGCTGGGGGACAAAGCTCCCGCCGCCCGCCCAGCTGCGGGCTGGGGGGTCGGGTCGGGTAGCCCTCGGGGGCGTGTCCTCCCGGGGTGGGGCGCCACCGCCCGGAGAGGCCGGCTGCGGCGG